CACCAAAAAGCTTCACAGCAAGTGTCTGTCTGCGACCGCGATCTCACCTTGAGGAAGCCACGACCACGTGTCAGAGCAGGGAAGTTGGCCACGGGTTGTGTTCATCACCCAATGCGGAGTTCGCGAACAGAAGCAAAATTTTGCAAACGCTGCTATTCGCGAACCAAATTGTTTGAGAACAGAAGCATTCGTGAACCGAGGTATTGTAAGTCTGCTGGGAATTAGGCCTTTTGAAACAATTCAGCCATGTTCAGACAAAGCTGGGCTGCCAGCTTCTCCTCTATGGAAAAGCATTTGACACTAAAGCAGTCAGAAGAAATCAGTGAAGACTTTTCACAGCAGGAAGCTGAAGCCTCAAAAAAACAATGAAGATATTGTGATAGATTTCAACTATGCAACTGTTTGTTGAAAGACTAATTTTGCCAAAATCAGGATATAAGAAAAATTCTTGATTTGCCCTGGCAATAATTTTCTCTTTCAAAAGGTGGAGGTGTATGCTAGAAGACCTGCTACTTTGGATTTAGTCCTTACCAACAGGAAGGAGTTGATTGATATTAAAGCGGTGGGAGCTCTGGATGCAGGTCACAGTCTTGATTTTAACAAATAATTTATATTAAAAAACAATAAAATGCAAACCATGGTTTTTAAGAAGGCCAATAAACTAAAAGAAATGACAACAAAGGTACCATGGGAAGAAAACCATAAAGACAAAGGTGGGACTTCTTGACAATAGAATTAAGGATACCATAGTCTCAAACAATGCCAATGCAAATGGAAACCAGCGGGCACCTAAAGAAACCAATATGGTGGAAGCGGCAGATCAAGAAAGAGTTGACACTAAAGAAAGAAGCTTATTTGAAATGGAAGGAAGGACTTACAACCAAAGAGGTCTACAAAACTTCAGCCCAAAAGTGCAGAAATGAGATAATGAAGGCAAAAGGCAGAAAAAAGATCCTAGGATAGCAAGAGAGGCAAAATCTAGCAAGAAGGGTTTCTTTAAATATGTCAATAGCAAGAAGACAAGAGAGGTGGTGGATTCATTGCTTACTTCAGCTAGAGATTTTAAAAGATGACCTATTCAACTTCTATTTTGACTCTATCATTACACCCCAAGAAACAGTGATCTGGGTGGCAGAGTTTGGGAACAAACCCAATAGGGGAGCATACATGTCAGTAAGAATGTAGCAAAGCAATTTCTAGCTCATTTGAATGCCTTCAAGTCTCCAGATCCTGATGAAATACACCCTAGAATACTGAAGGAACTGGTTGAAGAGCTGTCAGGACTTCTGCAATTATCTCTGAGAAGTTCTGGAGAACTGGGCAGATATCAGAGAACTGGAGGAGAGCAAATATAGTCCCTCTGCAAGAAAGGAAAAAGAGGATCCCAGTTATTATTAACCAGTGAGCCTAACATTGATTCTCAGACAGATGTTAGAGCAAGTAATAAAGCAGGGCATTTATAAACATCTTGAAGAAAATGCCATTTCTAACAGCCAACATGGCATTGCCAAAAACAGATCATGTGAGATAAATCTCCTTCTTTGACAGGGTGAAAGTGGACAAATTCCTGATGGTAAGATTTGTACAACAGTGGAATAGTCTACCTACAGAAGTTGTGGGATCTCCAACTCTTTTAATGAGGCTATGCCATCTCATTGACAGTTTAATTGGCTTTCCCACGTATTACAGAGGATTGGACCAGATGATCCTTGATACTGGTTTCAACTTTACAATTCCATGATCCTATGCCATTTGGCACTTTTCTTTTTAACTGCATTCTTGAATGGCCCAATTCCTGGCCAGGATGCTGTAAGTCCAACAAGTGAAAAAGAAGATAAAAACTGCTTCTTGAATTCTACTTGCATGTGTAACCATCCTTTCTGGATGGAGTAACTAGAACAACCCATGGAGCTCAGGTTGATGGTTCCTGCCTTTCCCTCTCAAAAAGAAAGCCTATGTTTGAAGGAACTTTATCACTTGTGTGGGCCTGTAGTTCCTAACAGGGATACTTGTAAGACAATGGTAAATGGAAGGAAGAAACTCAAAGACCTTGCGTCTCCATGTCGAAAATTCTGGATGCAGTCACTGATGACAGGTGTTGGAAGGATCAGACACCTGCTTCAGCTGATTTCCATTCCATCCATTAGTCAGGCCTCTCAATTCCCAAAGGATCAGGGGTGGCCCTGCCAGTGACTCCTAACGGTGTCATTTGGGGGCACCAGAAACACCTGGGGGGGGAGGACACCCACTGTAGTGGGTAGTTGTGCCTCGGAAAGCTGAACCTCTGCTGTGGTGTTCTGTGGTATTTTCTTCTACAGCACTGGGATGTTGTTTTATTTTGCAGGCGAGAGGAGAAAAGAAGAACTGTTTCTAAATTTGTCTCCTCATGGCAACCCTTCCTAAATTACATGC